TCGTGAAGAATGTGTGGCAATGATGTGATAAGGCGAGTTTCTCATATTCAAGATAGGACGCAAGGACAGCCCTTGTTTGTGATATTTTGGAAGGCCATACATTCTGGAGCTTAAGTCACACACACACCTCTGTAGCGACCATCGGGCTCTAGTCCATCAGGCTAAAAGACCCATTTCCGTGACAGGAGACGTCTGGGGTCGTTTATCAGATATGGTAACGTTACGGGCTAAGCAGCTGCCCTGAAAAAAGAGTAAATATTAGACAAGGATTTCCAAACATGCCGCAGTAACGAGGAGGACTGCTGCTCACCCTTAAATTGTGGCTCATTCCGAAGGATGCAGTCAGCGAATAACACTATTGTTTCAGCAATCGAATCGCCTCCTCACTGGTTTCTGAGGTGTCTGGTTTATCTAACAGGGAAGTTAACTAGGCATATTGTGAAAATGAAAAGACTCGCGTAAAGCCTGTGGGCTGCGCACCTCACCGAACGCCACTGCCGAGCGCGTGTTCGTTGCCACTCTTTGTGTTCGTTCTGTTTGAGTAGACCAAAACATCACACGCATTGCATGCGCTGCCTGTTGGTCTGGCGTTCAGTCACGTAGATCGCGTTGTTAGGCGGGGGAAGTGCATCTTGCGGCGGTACTGCCCCCATCCCCCGAGAAAATGCTATTTCGCCATGCTAGCCTCAAGTTTTGGTGGCCTACAGTGGGTTTGGTCACGGGTGAATGCAACCGCTACTCCGGTCCATAAACGCCGGAAAGGCCAAAGCGGTTTTTGAGCCATAGCCCTGGCCAGGAGAAGGCACCCCTGGGGATAAGTGGCTGTGAATTTGAAGTAGACAGTTTCAAATGCCTCGGGCTGAGGCTGCTGCCTAATGGATGACATTTTGTCCTGGAAAGCTGCTGCTCACCGACTTCTTTCCATCCTTAAAAAGTGCTACGAAGATTCTTGTGTGACATGCATCCGTCTGATCGGTCCTCTTCTACCATTGTGAATACTGGGCTTTGCGCGTGGAAGATGAAAGAAAGGTGGAGGTGTTTGGCCACCACCGCCGGAGGACTATCCTCCGAAAGAAGTCAACCGACTTCGTCTTAAGCGAGGCAGTCCGCACTCGATTCGACAAGGTCATCCAAGAAAGATGGCTGAGGTGGCTTCAGTACGTTCTCTGTCGTCCACTTCACAAACTCAATTATACTGCTCTCGATGCGGCGTCGTTGCCCACCTGGAGACGTCCAGACTTGGCTCGACACGGTCCGTCAATACACGGAAAGGGTTCTTGGACCTTCGGTATTCGAGCTCCGTCGCTAGAGAAGAGAATAGGATGAGCTTCCCAGATTCGCTGTCGCAAATCGTCACGCGTGGAGAGGTACACTACGTGAAATCACCGAGGCCGGCTAGATCAAGAATGATTATAACTGCATCAGGTGCAAGTACCAGAATAGGCACCAGCATAGAGTCCTCCGGTTCTCTAAAAACTGTGTTGAGCCGTAGTTTGACAAATAGTGGTTGTGCGGGGTGTTTTGGTGGAGAAGTTTCCTGTGCCTATGGGACCTGGGACTGTGGAGGATATTAACTTCTTTGATACTAACTCAAGGTTTCGGAGTTGTCTTCATCAGTAATTGTCGGCCTATTTTTATTACGTATAACACTGCTTCGAAATTGTGATAACAAAGACGACTGGCTACGAAATACCTATACGAATCATCTGGAGTAACCAGTAAGAGCCGTTGTGTAATACAGTCCATATAAATTACTATCCGTTGGCGAAAATGCGGTCCGTAACGAGGTTTCCGTATGTTATATTCTCGGTCAACCGACTGAAAAGCCGAAATAAAGATAGCATGAATCGAGTGAAAGCCTGTATTCTTCATATCATGTTAGGCTCACCGATCGGTTGTGGGACTCCCTCGTCTCGTTCTGCCTTGGGATTCACTCCCGAGCCCCGCTATCAGCCTCTCAACGGCGAGCATATTATAAGTAGAAATACATTATTGACAAAGACAAGGGAAACTCGGGTGGACATTTCTGGTTTATAAGCCGTCATCAGCTAGCTACATCCAGCCCTAGGGGTAGCAACTCCCGAGGCTCTAACCGGCCACCTTGTCGGCTAGAAGTGTGATACTTTGACCACTGCTCCAAGAATTTGTTGCCTTGCCGGTTTCGATCGAAAGTATACACAATGGTACAAAGGCCCTTACCAATCGGCTATGGAACTCATTCGTTCCGTTGTGCCTTGGGGCTTGCTCTCGAACTCCATAAACAGCCGCTCAACAGCTAGCTATATATTTTTTGGAGGTGAAGACAAAATGAGTTTATTGGGTAAATTTTCGACGCAGGTTCCCCAGGTTTAGACATGAGTAAATATGCAAAATAAAATTAAAATATAGAAAGTGTGCAAAAAAGCAATATTCATCTAGCGCAAGCGCTAATTACTGGCTGCAGCTTGCTTCAATCTGGACCAATTGCTTCTCGCCTCTTCCATTTTTCTTTGAGATTTTTGTACACAACATCTAACTCAATGTGTCGAAATGCACGAACTCGATAAATTATCGCCCCGTTTTGCAGGGGCAAACTCCGACTTTGCGAGTTTTCCCATGCGAATGTGTGTCCTGTATTAGGGCTGTAAATAGCCGCTAGGGACATCAACTGGCAGCGAAGAGGCTTGACCACCTGCCTGTCTTCCAATATATTGATATATCCAAATGATAATTTAGAATCATTGTTTACGAAAACGGCCACCCAATGCGGATGTGCTGTTAGGCGACCTCTGCTCGCTTTTTTCCCTGACCCGGAATCAGGTCCTCACTTTCGCATGCTATGAATTGCCGTCTATCATTCCACCTTTTAGAGAGGCCCTCCGGTTGCGTTACTCCCTCCTACCCTACTGGTACACGCTGTTTGCACGCAGCGAATTCGATGCCCAGCCACCCATGGCGCCGCTGATGTTCCACTTCCCCACCGATCCGGCCACTTTTGGCCTTGACAATGAGCACATGGTGGGCGAGGCCCTGCTAGTTCACCCTGTGGTCCACGAGGGTGCAATGAGTGTGGACGCATATCTGCCCCGGGGCACCTGGTATCTGCACAATGAATGGAAGGTAGGATTCCAGATTTGGTTGGGGCCACCCGCGCACCACTAGTTAACTTTCCCCCCAGCATGAACTGGCGGAGGTTAGCTGAAGCGAAGTTTTTTTCTTCAACAGTTAGATGTGATGGAGGCCTTGCTGTGCGGTGACTTTTTTTAGTGTGTGAGTGCAATCAAAGAATGACACAAATGGAAATGTGCCCATCGCTGTTTATCAGGCAGCGAAACGACGGTCTGAAAATGACCTCTACGAGTTTTGGTTGCTGCCAAAGCGTCAAAATAACAAACGCGTACACACTTAAACACTTAAAAGGTCAATCAGTGTTTCTTTGACTCTAGATTTAACAAATTTGCGTAAGTGCTGTCAGCTGGACTAGGCTTTTAACAAAAGAAATATATCCTCACAGGATACTCAAGCTAACATTTGGAGTCAAAGACGGTTAAAGTTGGAGTTTATAACCGACCCAAAGATCCGGATTAAAGTAAGACTGAAACCGCTGGAACTAGGCAGAATGTGTATAAGAAGCAAAAAAGGTATTCAAAACGTCAAACCAAAGTCCCGTAAAATCTCCGACTAGTTATGACGTGGGAATTTATAAATTTTCTAGTCTTCGTATTTTGAAGGGTTGTCCTTTGGAGAGAAAAGTTTAATAATTAAGGTGTTTCCCAACAAGTGGAGGAGCATTGCGAACTGTACTTGACAGAATTTAGTATGCGCTAATATTCGGGATCCAGATATAATATCGTGCTCATCATCCCCGGAAAAGGAAGAAGAAGAGGGGGCAAGTGCTGGGACCAAATTGTATTCATGCTGACGTTTCGAAAACATGCTCGTTCTCATCATCAGAGCGTGGTGCTTACTCCTCCGCCGGCCTTGACAGAATTTGTAGAAAATGTATACTTGTTCGCCGATCGCTAACTGAACTCACTTATCCCGTTCTGCCTTGGGGCTCATTCTCGAGCCCAGCCAGCAGCTGGACAGCGGTTAGGCAGATGAACATTGCCGACAAAGACAAGTGAGACTGGAATGGTCATTTCTGGCTCATTGACCGTCATCAGCCAGTCATACTCAACCCCATACGGTGCACTACCTGGGCTCTGAATGAACTTGTCGACGTTCGCTGCCTTGGCCATCGTATGGATGTTTGTGTAGTTTGACGGCCGCTAGTGTTGCGCTCTGTCGCCACAGTGGAGGGTGCTGGTAATTCTGCTTCCTATCCCCGTGGATTCGTCGCGGGGCCGTCTTTGCTCGAATTTATCAAGTGCTGTGTGGCCTTTATTCACGTGATAGCGCAGGGTTTTGTATACCTCGGGAAGGCCTTGATGCTACTTGATGAAGTTGGTGTCTGCATACCATGCCTCAGACGCCAATCGATGGGGTCGATTGTCGGCAAATTATGCGAACATGTATATGAAGGCCGGAACAACGAACCAGAGAAAGAAAAATCGATCAACCCCGGGCTGACAACTACAGCCACACCATCAAATCGTTGATCGATAGTGACAGTTGACGCTTTGACAATGGCGAGCCAACCAAGCTTTCCTAAACTTTAACACGAAACAGAAACCGCTCCGGTGAGCAGCATTGTGTTCCCAGATTTCTATCTCGGAACCCTCACTTTCTCGACCTTGAAAACTTTTTCAAAAGCCGGTATCTTGACATGACTGAATTATCTTGGGGTTAGACTGCATGCTAATCAATATTACAACCTTGTTTAAGTAATTTATTCGGACCGAAAACACTAGTTACTCTAGTTACAGCCTTGTTATTGTCGTCGTCTTAACTCATTTCATCATTTTTTGTTTGTCTCCATCTCTCAGGTTTACCAGGGTGGAAAGTCAGTCTCACTGCCTGTCGATTTGGGCACAATTCCCGTCTTCCATCGCGGTGGCTTCATTGTCCCCAAGAAGGCCCGCACCCGTCGCTCATCTGGCCTCATGGTCAACGACCCCTACACCCTGGTCATCTCCCTGGCTCCCGAGCTCTCCAACAGCGCTACCGGTTACCTCTACCTCGACGACTTCCACTCTGTCGATGTGTCCACCAGCG